GACAACAACAAACAAAAAACATAGGCCTACCATAAAAAGCCGTACTTGCACAGGTTCTGCACGATCCCCTTCAATAATATCCTCTGCGTCTCAATCGGGCTGAAACTGATAAGCGATATTAACGACGCTGTTGTTTACAATACAACCGGAGCACATGCCGCTGAGGTGAGGGGCGGGACGATTAGACGCGCACTAGAGGCGGTTTAGCCAATCACAATCACACACTGGGCTAGCTAACCAATCAGAGCCCATCGCCTATTTCTGAGGGGGGGCTTCATAAAAACAGGAAAAGATCAGCCCGTTTCTCAGAAACGGGACAGAGCGGTGTGGAATAAAGGTAAATTGTGTGAAAAATAATGCGTTTTTTCTTTTTTAACTAAGCATTAACACATGTTAGACTGCACCCCATAAACACAATCAAGCCTAGAAAAAAAACAGTGAACCACCCTTTAAAGGAACTGTTTTCTATTTTAGTATATTTTAAAATGCCATTTATTGCTATGATAGCAAAGCTGAACTCAGTTTCACATGATCCTTTAGAAATCATTCTAATATGCAAATTTGGTGATTAATTATTAATAATGCTTCTTATTATCAATGTTGAATACAGTTTTTTGTGGAAAACTTGATACATTTTGTTTCAACATTCTTTTATGAATAGAAAGTTCAAACAGCAAATATTTGATCACTTTTGATCAATTTAACGCATCCTTGCTGAATACGTTTTCTTTCTTTCTTTCGTTCTTTCTTTCTTTTAATTATTTTATTATTATTTTGTTTTTATTTGCTTACCCCCATCTTTAGAATGGTAGTGTATCATGGATTCCACAAAAACATGAAGCAGTATACATCGGCCTAACTAGTGTATACAGCAGACAGAAATATTTCTTAAGGTAATACCTAGAGCAACAATTCTCTACCAAGCATCTAATCTCAATAAAGCAATGTGATAAGACTAGTGAATGAAATAGATATGATGGAAATAACAGCTAGATAGCGGGATGCGCGGCTTGCCGCACTTCAACGCACATAAAACCTAATGAATCTGGAGAGAGGAAATGAAATGATCCTATTAGCCCCACTCCAGTTTAACGCCTGAAACAAGACACCAAATCCCTGACTGTAATAAATCTTTATATTTTTGCATCATTTCAAAGCATCTAATCATGAACTCTGACATTGCTGCTAATAAAAAATGCAAGACATATCATGGCCTGTCTTGCGGTGGAGAAAACATTTACTTTGCAAATGCTCAGGGGTGTTTTGAGCTCACATGTATCTAATTATGACCAGTGTGCACAAATTCTATTAATCCAACCAGTGGGACTGTAGGTTTTTACACTGAGGAGTCGGACAGGATTGTGATAGCTATGTTTGCAGTAAAACATTCTGGCATGGTTTACTGTCTGCTCTCCACGTTTCCATGACGGAGGTAAGGGGTGAACCATGGTAATGGCACAGTAACTGAATGCAATATCGCCAGGCCAGGAACACAACTTTGTTCCAATTACATTAAATCCCCCTTGAAAGCAGCACTCAAACCTGACAAACACATGCATGCTTTGGGGCTCTGCATTGAGATCCACATAAAAGGCTCTCAAACAGCGAGGCTAAATAATTGATTCCCTTTTAAAAACATAAGCTATGCTCTTTAACATATTCTGTGTGAGGATTAATTGGCTTTTCGTGTTCTAAGTAACAAATCCTCTTTCATTAGGTCCCTTTGCCAGCTAGCAATCCCTAGAGGCGAACGGTCACTAACCTTTTAATTTCCATAGAACAAATTGTTCATACCTCAGCACTGTGTATAAGGTCTGATTATGAAAATAAGCGATATTAGAGAGTGCTTGTCTATGCAAAACTCACCGCCATGATTCTAGGATATTATGGTGTTTAAGAGAGCTTTCCTATGCCGTTTGCTAAGGTGTTCTGAGTGGTTCTTGGGTATTCCGGGTGGTTACATTGGTACTGTCAGCTAGTGTGGTCAGGTTGGTCTATGATAGTACACGACTCAAGGTATTATAGCATAAACTGCGCTAGGGCTGGGCGATAGAGCTAAAAAATGTATCAACGATATAATGTTTCATATCGTTCAGTATCGATAATTATTGACATTTTTTATAACCTTTTTTAAAACAAAGATCAATAGAATTTTTTTTTTTAATTTAACCACTGTTTTATAAATTAACACAATTTATCGAGACAAACACCAAATATGTTTTTGTTTTAACAGTCAAACACACAATAAAACTTAAACAAATATCTAATTTCTAATGTTTTATATGCAGATTAAATAGGTTTTAAGGAAACTTTTGGCTTGTCTCCCGAAGCCACAGGAGGGCGCAATGAGCAAAATAATGCAGCACATAATGTCAACGCATGGAAATAACTGTCTATAAAAAAAAACGTGCATTACGTCTAAATTAACTCATATAAATCTAATATAATTTTGTAAATTGCATAAACAATTATGAACAAAACAGTATCATGTATTTATATATTGCTTAATACAAAGAGCCAAATCGCCCATCATGCAGATTGCATTTAAAAACATAAGAGACGCAGTGAAAAGGAATAAACCTCCACAAATTTGCGACGTCTTTTCTAAAAGTTTAAACTGTTTTAACTTTTCATAGCTACATCTCTTGTGTCACGAGTGCAGCAGTCATATTTGTCCGTCTAAAAAAATGCGCTGCTGAATATGCGTTGTGTGAATGGCTTGGTTTCGGTTTTAACCTAATCAAGACCTTCTCCACATTGAGCTTCTACATTTCTCTAATATTTTGAATGCATAACACAGCAGCGGCGCGTCTCGTGGGCAAGACTAACAAAACATTAAAATGCAACAACGTCACTTACAGGTGCATCTCAATAAATTAGAATGTCGTGGAAAAGTTCATTTATTTGAGTAATTCAACTCAAATTGTGAAACTCGTGTATTAAATAAATTCAATGCACACAGACTGAAGTAGTTTAAGTCTTTGGTTCTTTTAATTGTGATGATTTTGGCTCACATTTAACAAAAGCCCACCAATTCACTATCTCAACAAATTAGAATATGGTGACATGCCAATCAGCTTATCAACTCAAAACACCTGCAAAGGTTTCCTGAGCCTTCAAAATGGTCTCTCAGTTTGGTTCACTAGGCTACACAATCATGGGGAAGACTGCTGATCTGACAGTTGTCCAGAAGACAATCATTGACACCCTTCACAAGGAGGGTAAGCCACAAACATTCATTGCCAAAGAAGCTGGCTGTTCACAGAGTGCTGTATCCAAGCATGTTAAATGAAAGTTGAGTGGAAGGAAAAAGTGTGCAGCCTTATGAGGATTGTCAAGCAAAATCCTGTACATCATTATCACCGCATCTTGTGCGCCACTGATGACGCTCCCTGACCCACTCCTAACATTCAAATGCAAATGTTTATTTTAAATTTTATTCACAATCTCCTCATCACAGGCAGGCACAGCACTCAATTCAGCATGTGTTCGTGTTTGTGTGTGCTGTCTGCGTCACTCATAGCACGTGCCTATATCGTGCACTATATCGAACATTTTTTATATCGTTATCGTAGAAGGTGTACCGTCGATAAATATCGATACCGTTTTATCGCCCAGGCCTAAACTGCTTGCATGAATTATGCTCCATAATTGAATCTTTACATTCGGAAGTTTAATTAAGATCCGTAATCGAGCAATAATAATTGATATTTGCATTTGCAATTATTTGAGATTAGAGAGCCAAGCAACAGGAATAACATAAAAATTTCACATGAAAGATCTTTGGAAGATATTGCACATCAAACAGAGACATCAAACAGTGTCATTGCATCATATGAGCGAAATCTTTAAAAATCATTTTAGCAATCTTTCTTTCATCGGCTTCACAGTATTTCATCATGTACAAGCAGCTGCTTATGTAACCATGTGGCCAAAAAAACACAAATACCAAGAATATCTGTTGGCTAATTATCACAATTTTCCCTCCTTGGAGAGATTGTCAGACCCCTTCTGTCAGGTTAGGTGTCAACAGACCTTGGTATTTCTAGTTACTTCATGATACTGGTATTTTATCTTCTCAGTTCCTGGCACTGATGTAGGCTGTAAGGTTTTGGAATAATGAAGTACAACAATAAGAGCTACAGTTCTAAGACTGAATGAAAAAATATATATTTAGAGGTCCCCAAAATAATTAGGCTACTAGCAAATTCAGTTTAGGTTCGACTAATTTTATATGAAAGAAGACACTTTCTTTACAGATTACACCTGAAATTAAATTTGAAAAATATATAATTACTATCTTTTTTTATTTCTGGCACATTTGATCAAAATTCAACCTTTAAGTGGATTTCGACATAATGTGTGATATTTAGTTGTCAGATGTGTGATTGTAATGGCATTAGTCACTTTTTGTGGAAAATGTTGAATCAGTATTGTATTTGCTAAGTAATCTGAAAGATAATTAACTTCGAAATAGAAATGGATTGTTTCTCATTTACAAATCAAGAATTCAAAGGTTTTTATTTATTTATATTTATTCTTGGAAGAACGAGTTTTCACTATGCTTGGCATGATGGTAATGACAATAGGTGGTAATAGGGTTCAGTCATTCTTTGTTATAAAATATTGCAGTTTATACATACAAATTAAAATCAAGTAGTGAAATCAAGTTGTGATCGTTATAATATTGAATACACACACAAATGTGATCGCACTCACAAATCGCATCTCAGCGGAGTTAAGAAATTACGCGCACACAAGAGCCAAACTGCCCATTATGATATTTCAGAAATTTCACTTTAAACAGTCTAATAGACAAAACCGCCGTTTGTTTCTCAGTCTAAAGCTCTCATTGATTCATAAGAACTCTGGGAGTCCGTTCAGTCAGCAATTATTATAACGTGACATGAAGGCTCCAGCTGCACTTGGTAAATTAATTCCCTGTCTGTCCATATATATATAATTCATCAGTAGTTCGTTTATATCAAGCGTATCCTTACCTGTAGATTAAATCCAAGGTGTTCTGGAGATAAAAAACGAACGCGCAAGTCTTGTTATTTAAAAACACAAACGGTCATTACTTTCCTTTGAGACGTCTCGATGGCACGAAACACTGTAACAGTATCAGCGCGCGAGACGCGCAGCGTGTGAATGACGACGGCTGTCAGGCTGAAAGATATTCAGTGTAGTAGCTTCCTGTGTTACATCACCACTGCTTATCCCCGCCTCAATGGCACACAGGAGCTTTCCTTGCACAGCTTGCCTTATTGAAAATGATAAGGGTTGTCCTTGTTACTAGTAGGCTATCCACTTTCTGAAGGGTTAACGTTAGGATTAGGGGTTCGGTTCATGATTATTTGCTTGTAATTATGCGTAATTTACTGTTATTATTACTATACACACACACACTCACAAAATATATATGACTCTAAAAGATGTCTATGTATTTTTACATTATATGTGTTTTTTTATATCAATTACATTTTATGTTGTATTTGAAAGTCTTATGACTATTTGTTAATGGGATATTTGTGGTCACGGAAATTACTTTAGATTTGTGGGTTAAACAACATTCTTATTTTTAAGTGGAAAAAACTCTTGGGGTCCCCATCTTATGGCAGTTCAAATGCTCCTCCACTCCTCCAGCTGATTTTAAGAAACATAATGAATTGCAACTGTAATGAAGCCACTGGAAGTTCATTCAAATACAATTGTTTAATTAGAGTGTATGCAAAGGCATTTTGACCACTAGTAGTGGATTGCAAAATGTCTTCTTAAGAGTAACAGCTCCATCTTGTGTAGAAAACAGACTGAGTTGTAAGCAGTTTTATGTGCTTTCTTTTTTCAAACCATCAAGAAGTGCTAAAACACCTTTCACAATGGAATTGCTGGTACTCTATTTGTAAGATGTTAGTAAAATATGCAGTCATATAAGTGGTTCTCTTAGTGATGATCTGTTGGTCACATTTTTATATACATTTTTATGCTAGACTCAACTTTCAATCACTGTGTCCTGGAATTTATTATTATTATTATTCTTTTTAAACGTTTTTTGTTTTTTGTTGCCCCTAGTCATTACGTACAAACAATGACAAGAGTTCAAGGTCACAATGCAAGGGCATAAAAATCATAACATTTTGGAGTGTACTGTCTAAACACAAAAAACTAAGAATTAGTATGTTTGAAAATGTTTACAAAAACAATAAAGGAAAATAATAATAAAAAAAGGATTTAGAATCTTCAGCAAATATTTATAACAGCCATAGTGTATAAGTGGCACTGTGAAAAACAACAATTTATGAGTAATTTTTCATGAAAGATGATGAGTAATTTTTGTATGTAAATGTTCCCTTTCTCCCCATAAAACAATACACATTGATTATGTTTTAGACTTAAAATACATAGAATGTCTTTATATATAAAGTCTAGATTAAAATCCATTAACTGTGATAATTATATACATGACAATAATGTGTGTGTCAGCGAGGTACTGGCACATGCTGCTGTTTCTTATTTTCTCTCTGAAGAGTGGTTTAGGATTTGGTATCATGAAAAATATGTCCTAGACAGATCGGTATAAGATATTTGAGTTCCTCGTCTTTATCCGTATTTGCTTCCTCCTGTGATCTGAAGAGAAAACATTGAACATACAGAATTAACAATAGACGCACATTTTTCTGCGTCATTTTTTGTGGTCCAGCCTAATGGAACACAAGTTGGATGTTTAAGCATCATCATTATTGACACTAAACTGCACAGTTTTTCTCAATTATAATATCAAACCCTCTAAAGTAAGTAAGGGCTGCAGTTAGACACACCTTTCATGCACATTTTCATGCAGTGTCTCTTAAGGACAAAGTTGTTTTTGTTGCCTCCACAGCCACTGTAGTGAAACATCTGGCATCTCTCAATCCTGGGGTTGTACACGAATCTCCTCTCAGAGCCTTCACAATTGCCCCTATCAACTGGACTCAAGCAGAATTCTGGGTGATTGAACTCTGAAATGCAACAACAATATGTTGGCAAAATCAGCAGCAGTTAAAAAAAACACTTTATACACATTCAAACATGTTCAACTGAGACAGAAAAAGATTATATTACATAATACTATCATAATAAATTATATAATATATATATATAAGAAAAAACAGTACAGGTACATGATCACAAATAGATATAGTATAATTATGTTAATTAATGTTTATAATGCATTTATTTATGTTTGCCCTGCACTTCTGTTACACAATTAAACAATTAACTAGTCACTTTTCGTGTCTCTGCGACCATGTGCCGATTACTGAAACCATATTGCAATGTACACTATGTGCATATTATGATTATACATCACATCTGATTCCAATTGCTTCTTACTTATTGTTTCTTATTTCTTGTTAATTGTAGGGATTATGAATTTTTGTAGGCAAAAACTCGGAAATTAGTTAACATTTTAGCACTTTTGGTTCATCACCCATCTACTCACTGTCTGCTTTTAAAGCCTCATTGTGTTTACAATCATGCCCTTGCAAACTATTCTAACTCAAACTTTCAGCGAAAATGTTTTTAAAATAAAGACTGAAAGAGTTTAAGATTAATGGTGCTGACGTTTAAGTCATGTGACTGTGATTCATTTATAGCCTGTTCATAAACCAGGGCGAAGTTAACTTCTGGGTTGGCCAACAAAAATACATCATCATCGGCACTGCAGCACTATTCATTCTAGCTGGAATGACAATGAATTCAACTTGAATTTACATACTTGATCCACTAGATGGCAGTAAAATCTAAGCAGTGGAACTACAGAGCATTTGCACATTCAAGTCACTCTTTTAACCCAAAAGCAATTGTTGTAATTAATGTATTCAGCTACTTTTAACCCAGAAAGTAAATTGCCAATAATAAATTAGTAAAACAGAATGCTGACAGGATGGTGAACGTGGTAATTCACTTAGTATACTTCATTAAAGCTGCAGTCCGTAAGTTTTGCCTCTTTGTCGCCATCTCTGTTTGAAAACCTGGAATTGCAGCTGTGTGTGGAATTATCTAGCTTGCGTGGGTTGTGCTCCGGCACGGCTCCAGCGTGGATTAATCTAATGTTCTGAAGAGTATGTGTGGCAGTCAGTCACCGCACCGGTGCGGATGTTTACTGTACTTCGCAATCACAGATTCTAACCTACGTCTTGGAATACGACCCAAATAAGTATTTTCAAAGTATATTGCCATCTGAGCAAGTAAGTAACAAGTCTGCCACGTTTGTTCTGACCAACTGAGGAAAAAAGCATTACCATAAATCTCGCTACCAATGGTTATTAAATCTAAAGATCGGTTAGCTCATATCACATCAAACCGTTCAAATTATTATTATTGTTATGCTTTATTCTCAAATAATTGATGTTAACAACATCAGCATCGGTGACTATGAGTGTAGTGTGTATTAGTGTGTAGATTTCAATTTCTGTACAGTCTAATCTCTAATTGTCATACTCGTCGAATTTCATATTGGGAAATTCTTTTAACCCAAAAAGCTAATTATGCTCCCTTCGAACTGGTTGTCTTCAAAATACAAATCTTTGTAATCCCAGGCTATCAATTGAACTAATAAGTTGCAAATTGGTCCTCCAGCTGTTCCTTATATGTACATTTAACTTTTCCGGCCTCTTATTGCTACCTGTCCCAACTTTTTTGGAATGTGTAGCTCTCATGAAATCCAAAATTGCCAGTATTTGGCATGACATTTGACATTTGTCTCGCTTTCAACATTTGATATGTTATCTATATTCTATTGTGAGTAAAATATATGTTTATGAGATTTGTAAATTATTACATTCCTTTTTTACTCACAATTTGTACAGTGTCCCAACTTTTTTGGAATCAGGTTTGTAATTGTCATACTCTTCGAATTTCATATTAAGAAATTCTTTTAACCCAAAAAGCAAATTATACTCCCTTCGAACTGGTTTTCTTTAGAATACAAATCTTTATAATCCCAGGCTATCTGTAATCATGAGCACATTTATAATTTGAATATAATTTAATTTCATTCACATATGTTTCATAAACACATAATCCTTTATGGATTACAACCCACCATCAAAATGATACATTTAATTATTCTGGCTGCTGTGAGAAAAGGCTATAAACGATCCGCCACTTGCAGGATCCTCACACTAGCCTAGTAGCCGGGACAACTTCTTTATGTTTACAGACGTGACGTAATGACGCAGTGCCATGCTCGAATTTCCCGCGAAAACCTACCCGTACCACTCAAATTAGAAAACATTATTATAAGCTAACCGTTGTGAATCGGGCTAAAGTAAGGCGAAAGTTTTGACCACTGGCTGGTTATGTACTTGCTCAAATATTGATTTCGCATCATTTTTAACCAAAAAAAGTTACAGACTGCAGCTTTAACCACTGCGATTAAGGCAAGAAAAGGCAAATGTGAAGTAATATGAATAGCTCCCATTAACACATGGTAACCATGTAAATACAGAAAATTGCAAGTGTTTAATAGTTTTTTTGCAATTTCCATCAAGAGCCCAAATCTCAAGAAGAGGAAATTTAACACAACAAAATATACTTGCAATTACAGAAACTGATATTCAGTTTTTTACATTTCAAAACTGAGTATTAATGTTACAAAACCACATATTTGAAAGATTTTTGTGCAATCTGTGTGCCAGACAAGGATGTCATGTGCCTTGGGGCTGTGGAGCAGAGACCAGCTCTTAACTGTCAAAATAAGCAGGAGGAGGCAGGAAAAAATGGCTGCTACGCTGCCCTCTGGACTCAGACAAACAGACTGTTTTACACAAAGGCACAGCTGTCTAGAACCCTCTGCCTGTGTGTGTTGTGGCGAGTCGCCTGCCTCCCCCCTAATTATCAGCAATACCCCGTCCCTTAATCGCTGCCCTTCGCCAGGCTCCCGACAGGAGTGGGCAGGCCCGGATTGGCTAATCGGGAGCACCAGGAGAATTCCCCGTGGGCCGGTCTGTTTTTTGGCCGTGAGGACCGTTCTTGTCATGCCACTGGGGTTGAAATATGGATGCCCTTAAGGCATCAAAGCGTCCCGTATGAAAGCTAATGCAATTTGTCCCGTATTCGCAGGCACCCCATATGACCACCAGACCATATGCA